ATTATTTGCCCTAATATTCTAAAGGGTAAATTTCTTAAACTACCCTTATGATTTAGTTAATTGACTAAGTGTACCATTACTATTTGAAAATTGAGTGATGGTCTGATAGCACCCCTACTATTTTTGACAATCGATTAACTCTACCCTTACCATTAACATCCTTTAATATCCCTCAAAACCCATATATACGTGATACCACGTAACGTTGAAAATCCTATTAAACCCCGGATACTGAAAAACCCGCCGAAGGTGTGGTCTCTCACTGAAATGCAGCCCTCGTCATCGTTGGCTTTTCAGATTAAAGCTCCGTTTTTTTTTTTTTTTTGGTACATTATTAGAACCTCATTAAGGAGGTTGAAAATCAAGGCTGCGTTTCCTGGTTAAAGATGACAACTCCACACGGTCACACACACAAACACGATGTAAAAAATAAGTCTGAAAGTGAGCTGTGTGTACGTGAACATCTTATTGTACAAAATTTCTAGAATCCGACCCGGATTCATTGTTTGCTTAACCCGTTTTCGCTACAGTTGCCGTTCAACGCAGCGACCATAATAGCAAAACAGGGTACGTTTTCTGGGATATTCCCGCTGGAAAACAATGACCGGTTCCTGGAACTATGCCGACGACCATGATTTCTTTAAAAATCAACGTTGGCAGCCAATATTTGAATAAAACCTGACCCATCTGCAATCTTTGTTTTCTGGCGGCATTGTTTCTGTAAAAATCGACTTTGGCGGATTTTGACTGCACAAAAACATGCAAATAACCAGCGCTATGCTTCTTCTGCTGAATGCTCATCAAACCTAGCAAAACAAGACTCCACGTCCGCTCGCGCAACCCAAGAACAAAATAATTAACACTCCACCGACCTGGAGCGGCTATGAACAAACGAGGGGTGGTCAGCTCGGCGAAGCGAAGGGCCTTAAAATCTTAGAGAAAGAACGGTGGGGAAATTTTGACTAGCACATTCAATCAGTTCCCTATGAGACCAGAGGATTCAGACGGATTCCCAGCCAGCCCGTCTTAGCACGACAACGCGCTCTTTGCGTGCACTAGCCAATGAACGAGACAGACAGTGCCCCACCTTACATAAATAGCCTAAATGAATGTCCGCCACTGTCAGTAGTATGGGAACTGAATCCAGTTCCAACAAGAAGGAGTTGAAGAAGAAGAAAGAGAAAGAAGGAGAGGAGGGAAGAGGAAAGAGAGAGAGAAACGGGATGAAGGAGAAAATGATAAAAGGAGACGAAGGAGAAGGTAGGGACTGCTACAACCGCTGGTTTAAGTTGCAGCGGCAGTGAGAATAGGACAGCAAACCATTGTCTTATAGCATCACGTGACCGACAGAATATCCGTCGGAAAAAAGCAAAAGATGCTGATTCTTAGACTTAGACGACAAAGGTTTTATTTTGAAAATTTGAAGAAAAATAAAGGGTAAAATAATCTTTTTGTCTTTTTGCTAATGGATACTAACCGTAAGGGAAATATCAGTTAATTATCAGAAACAATAGGGATAGTGCTAGTCAATTTTCAAACAGTAAACATACACTTAATTAACTAAATGATAAAAACAATTTACAAAATTTACCCTATTCTAAGTGGTCTGGATGATTCCACCTGAATGATTGGACCGCTGACCTAAAAACCAATGACCAAAATAGATCCATTTCTATTTTCTAGATCAATTTTTAAAACCTTGCTTTTTTAAGCAAAATAGAGAAAACACTAAAAACATAAAGGATACATAGTTTGCCCCCTGATTACATAAAGGTGCTAGTCTCAAAAGATATAATAGATGGAGTTTAGTAAAAGAAACAAAAGAGTTGCATAGCCTAGCCTTTAAAATTTGATGGAAAGCCTTTAAAATGGGTAAGATCAGTGGTGAGGGAAAATTTGTCGTAAAAATACAATTATCACATGATGTGGCATGTAAATAGAATATGAGGAACCACCAACGAAAGTATGTGTGATATTTTCGAAAGCTCAACCATACCTTAAGTAGATTTAGAAACTTAGGGCAATTTTTTAATACTTTTTTAATTAGGAATATACTTCAAATAATTAACCCTAAGTCCCTAAATCTAGAGGGCAGCTGGCAGGTTTGGAGTTCGGTTTTGTTATGACACTATGTTAGCATATGGCTAAAACATAAAATCATGACCTTGGATCTACTGCAGTGGCCCCACTAAGAAGTCAATTCATCTAATTCAAGGTGGGGCCATGACAGCAAATCAAGGGTTTTGATTTACTTGTTTCAGCGCACCAACAACAATGTGGGTTGGCAAATTCAGGGGTGGAGTGGACAAGGACACGCCTCTCCCCAATTAATAAAGTTTTAGGTTTCCCTGCAACCCACTCTATAACCACACTGCATATGGATTTGGCATCAATCCACTGTCAGAATTCATTCCACCCCTAGGGTGGAGCTAAGATTTTTAAGGTTGGACTGAACAATTAAAATCTCAAAAAAATTCCTAACAAGTGGTGGATCTAAGCCAAAGCATTAGGGAGTAGGGATCTAAAAAGTTTTAGGTTTTCCTATTTTTCCCTTCTTTTTCTTACATTTTTCTTCAAACCAAACACTGTTAACAATAAGGTTCAAAATATCATCATATATCGGAACCTTCCCAATACGCCCCTACAGGGGTGCTTTGGATTGACGAGTGATTTAAGGGGTAGACTGGCCCCTCTTAAACCAAATTCGGAAAAAAACAAAATGTACCAGTACAATACAGATCCATACGCCATACCAGCATATCACTCTGCATCAATATTTTGAACTTAAACCAAGGGATCTGATGTCCCCCACCCGACTCTATCAAAAAATGTAGCTAATGTTAATAATGCCTGAAGACAAGTTTGGGGAAGCCATGTCTCATTGGAAATAGCCATCGAGACTGTGACCTGAAAGGCCTATTAAAATAGATTATGACATGAAAAATGCTTTCAGAGCCTAAATGAATGAAACCAAATAAACGCGTTGTTATCCTGAAGACTTGAAGGTTCCAACTCTCCAATTCCCACTTGCCACCTTTTGGCCACTCCTCCACGGCTCCACACCCCCCCCCCCCAAAAAAAAAAAAGAATTTTAAGATGAAAATAGTTTTTAATAAGTTAATTTTTAGATAAATTCATTTACCAATAAAATCCATACAAGCTACTGTCTTTCTGAATGGTATCAAAGAGAAAGTATGGACAAGAGGACCACATAAAACAGTTGGTAGACAAAAAAAAACACTCACGTTGGGCTATGATGGTGCATTGGTGTGGATTCTTCAAGGGAGTTCTATTGAACCATCCAATAGGAACTTAGACTCAGTTTGGAAAGAGTATAAATACAAATATGTTTAGTATAAATACATACAAATACAAGGTTTTGCACTCTATATATATGTATTTGTACTCCTTCCAAACTGAGCCTGAGCAATAGATATAGAACTACAAATACAAATATGTACAGCATAAATATAAGGTTTTACACCACACACATTTGTATCTATATTTGTACTGTTCATATTTGTATAGTATATTGTAAACCTTACATTTATACTGTACATATTTATATTTGTACTCTTTCAGAAAATACAAAATCCATCCCCCCCCCCAAAAAAAAAATAAAAAAATAAAGCAATGTCATCATCTTTACTCTCTCCATGCACAGATTAAATGTTTTGTTCGGTAAAATGAAGACCCGGTGGACAGTGTAATTAGGGCTTCAGTTCACGGTGTATATTGTGTTGTAAACTTTGTATTTTATTTTGCAGTTTCAAACTTTAGATTTGGGCTTGGGTTGGAACTAGGAAAACTCACCCCAGTCAGTTAGCCTAACCCAACTCAGTTCAGTGTTTGAACCTTGGACGTGGATAGAATATTATAACATAACTGGATGCGAGGAATGGACAGAACGTCCAAGATCCTACTGCGTTATTCCTATTACAGACTTGAATTTGGGTTGAGCTCGTTCACCCTTGGTTCCTTGAGAGCTTGAAGTTGAACATCTTGGGTTGGATTAGGTTCCATTCCTTAGTAATGGGCTATGATGGGCCTTTACCAAATTCACACTAAACTATACCAAAAAATTTACCGGTTAATGCCTTTTTAGGGAGCGAATAGAATTTACACAAAATGCACGCCAACATGGGATATCGTCGAAATAGACCACGCACATGCATAGTGTTTTTTTCTTTAATTAAGGGGGCGTTTGGTGTGTCTTTCCATGCAGTCTTTCGACTGTTTACAAATCGGAAATACTGATTTTTGATCTATTTTTGTTTAACGCGTAAAAAATTTAGCCACCAAAAGACAAAACACCAAAAAGATACGAAAAGTTCATTTTAGGCTGAATTTGGGAAGTTCTAAATGAAGTTTTTCATGTCTTTTGTATTTTAATCTCGCGCGAAAAAAATATGCATCTGCTAAACAGTCTTCGGGCTGCCTAGATCTTATGTCAAAAGCTCAATACACGTCTTTTGACTGTCAGAGCTACAAGAAGATCTTCTCAAAAAGACTTCCCAAGCGGTCCCTAATAAGAATTAAGCACCAAGTGGTGAGTCCCGCCATTGACAAATGAAAAGTGAAAACCATCCAAATATTTTACCTTAGGCTTGGTTGTAGTGCAATTTTATTTGCACTAGTACAAATGTATGGGAGTGCAAATAAAAAGAATGCAAATTTTGGTTCAATTTATTTTGGGTTTAATTTATTCTGGTCTTATTGTACTTCATTTGTACTATAATCAAGGTAAATTTTGAAATAAAAATAAATCATAATTTGCACTACCATGGTTTTACATTAATGCAAAAAAAAAATGGCATTGCAATCACACACAGCCTTATGGGAAATAACATGAGCTGCCCAAATTTTAAATAAGGTTTTGGATAAATTATAAAGACCCCCTATACTTTGTTTTGCAACAAAAACCCTCTTTACTATGACCGTGAGACAAAGACCCCTTCCATTAGGCATTCATCCAAATCAGCCATTGTAATATTTTTTAACCCTCATACTACCCTTCAAATAACTATTGGAAAAAACACTATTCATCTTCCCGACCTCACTCATAGTACATAAACAGTGGCGATAGATGTTGCAGCGGCGGCAGTCGAAACTGATACTGAGATCAGAGAAGAAACTGTCGACTTTGCCTCGTTACTCGATCCATTGGTCTCTTTTGAATCTATCTTCTGTGATGCGTTTGCTGTAATTTCTTGGTTTGGCGGGCACTGTAATTGCCTTATCAATCTCTGCGACGTTGATCTCAATCTTCTATATTGAAGAAGATGAGGCCTTAGTAATCTTTGGAGGCTGGTGCTTAGCTCCGATAGGTTTCTGCAACATAAGTTCAAACTTTCAATAGATGAATCTCCGGACACAGACATAGAAGCAGTAGAAGAAGAAGGCGAGATCAAAGCCGTTGAGGGTACTGGTGCACTTGGTCTCGTAGGTGAAGTTGAAACCTGACGGTGAAACTGCTCGCCGCAGCCACCACCTTCTCCTCCTCCTCCTGCCCCACCACTACCACCTCCACTTGAGGTCAACATTCATGTGACCTTTAGCCGAAGCTGCGAAAACAAAAGATATGAAAATTTCCTGTTAATATCCATACAAAAAGAACATAATAGAACATCAAACTTCTCGTAAGCTCCATCCTCGTCTCTTTCTCTACCTGACCGAGCTTTTCTCGGTACCGACATCTCATCAGGGACCTTCCACGTCGGGGCCACCCTAACAACCTTAGCAGGCGGAAAGCTCTTCCTATGATGATGATGATTCGACAGAGAGGACGATGGAGGATTCGGGGGAAGCATCCGAACCGCACCGGCGTCTTCGTCCTCATCATCGTCAACGCTTTCTTCGGTACATTCTTCTCCACCTTCCTCCCGATTACTCCCATGCATCAATCTATCTCCCCTTCTTCTCTTGTTCCGACTCGACCGATCTCGATCTCTATCTTTCTTATTTACTCGATCTCGTAACCTCGTCGTTTCCTGCAATTCCATTGACCCATCTTCCTCTGTAAAATCAACAAAGGAAAGAAAACATCATCAAGATCAGAGGAAAAATGAATAAAATTGGTGAGAAACAGTACTAAAAACGGATCTGAGAAATCCGAACCAGGTGAATCCCTCAGACTGCTGGTCCTTTGTCTCCTTCTCGACAATCCATTCGTCGCCGCTAAGGACTCCTTGCTTCTCTGTTTCTATCCATCTCTTTCCACTTCTTCTCATGAAATCAAATACAGAAGAATGTAAATCTCAGGCTGGTAGCTCAGAATATCCGGATTATCAATAATTACAGGATCAGAGACCATCGCGTAAAGCATCGGAGAAGTCTGAAGAAGCGTGTGGGAAGATTTCTCCATTGCGACTGGCCTTGGAGGTGAAACGGAACGATCATTTCCAAAGTATATTCGCTTTGCGAGCTTCAAGCCATCTTTGACAGATTTCACGAATTGTTGAGCCATTCTGATCAGACTATTGAGAGAGAAACGAAATTAAGACAAATTTTCGGAATACCTCTGGACTCTGATTTCCATTTCGCGTCACCGACGTTATGTTTTTTGAATGGATGAGATCGTCATCACCAACAGGCGAGGGAGGACTTCGGAAGTCCGCCACCACTGCAACATCTATCATCGCTCGTGTACTGTGAGGTGAGGTCGGGGAAGATGAACAGTATTTTTTTCTCAGAAGAGTAATATAAGGATTAAAAAATATTGCAATGACGGATTTGAACGGAACACTAACGAAAGGAGGTCTTTATCTCACGGCCATAGTATAAGGGAAGTCTTTGTTGAAAAACAAGTACAGGGGTCTTTGTCACAGTCCCCAGGGGTGGTCTTTGTAGTTTACCCTAAAGTTTTTTATACAAACTTTACAAAATACTAAGAGAAGGCTGTTTTTTTTCCTCCAACCGCTTGATGCGCGTATCAACCCTTCAGTCAGGGCAAAGCCAGTTTGATCACCTTTTATTGCCTTGCATTAATATCTCTATATTGCTTTATTTTATGAGGAAATATTTGCAATACAAGAGTGAAAAAAACTGTTAACGGTATAAACATAGATTTGTCCTGATAGAAGCCGATCTCCACTAATGGTCCCAACCCTCACCCTCCGCCTGCGCAAAATAATTATAAAACAGATTTTTTAAATTTGTTGTTGACGTGACGGGATCTGTTCTTCAGGTACATCCACCATGTATTAGAAATATCTCCTATAAATAATAATTAATAAATACGAGAGATGTTTTCTATGCATAATAGAATGTGCGTGTGAAGCGCCTGTGAGGCGCTAAGTGTGAGAAACAGATCGGGTCTCGTTATTGACCCGGATGGTCATCGTTCAGTTCTATAAATTGACAAGAAAATCATTAATTTATAAAAAATTATTCGATCTGCTTGATCTATTGAAAGCTTTCAAAAGTCATAATTTTGTGTTCGGTTGTCCAATTAAGGTTATCTGTGTTATTTTTTGCAAAAGAGATTCTTATTTTGCCGCAAATCCTAATTTTTAGTATTTTTTATAAATAACAATTTAAAAGTAAGATAAAAGTACATCTTTTGAGGGTTTGACCAATTTTAGATGGATCGCCGACATATATCAGGCCGTGTCGAGTAATAAAACTGATATTAAACCAATAATAATCAAAACAATAAATTATATCGATGGATCAAAACTGTATTATATCGATGGATCTCTGATATGCCAAATGTGTATCTTTTGAGGGTTTGCCCTATATTTTGTAAAAAAAAAAAACAAATATGATTAAAATTACCAATATACCCCTTCTTACCCATCGAAGGTGAGTAAGAAGATTGGGTTATCTTTTGGTTCGTTTACAAATTCCTTCGCAGCTTGCTCCAAGGACTTCCTAATTCCTTTAAAAAACAATAAAATAATACAGTTAGAAAATCGAGAAAACAGAGACACATCCGCGACCGAAGCGGAGCTCGTATAATTTTGCAAACTCACCAAATCTGGACTTTCCTTCTCCCCCCTGCCCAGATGCCCTATTATAGTTTTGCTTCTTTTCTTTCGGTAAAGATATCCCATCGTAGCTTTCGTGTCTCGCTTCCTCTTTCTCTCGACCGTAGCATAGTTACTGTAGCAGATCACTCAATCCAAAATCACTCAAACCATTGAATTTAATTTAGATTTTTCAATTATTTTCGCACCGCGCCGAAACCTCAATTCCCTTTCTTCCTGTCAGAATTTTCTCAGACGCTATACAGTATACGCTTTTAATCCGAACAAAATCTCTATTCCGCTCTCAAATTTTAATCCAAAATCACTTAGTTTTTTTACTTTATAACTCACGGAAATAAAATTTCAAGTTTTTTTTGGGGGGTTTTGTATATGTTTTCTTACAAATGAGCCTGAATACTCGTGCATCTGGCTCAATTTTCTTTGAAGCAAGAGTATTTTCCGTATTCTTTGTTCAAATTACAGCCTTCGAAATCGCCATTAAATTGCAACGTATCTTTGCTTTTCTACATTCTCTGATACTGAAATTTTCCGGCAAGGAATAACTATTTCCTGAATAATTTTTCGATGCTCATTTAACCGATTCTTCTAGCTCCTCAGGAAAGAAATAACCGATTTGCCGATAAGAGTAAAGGAAATCTTTCCTTTTTTTTTCCGTTGCGTGTGCGTTATCTTGAAGTTGAGTCTGTTTTCTTATTCCAGATTTTAGAGGAATAATGTCATAAATACATTTAAAGCTTTCTATCCTAAAAAAAAATTCCAATCATTTATTCTCATATTAAACTCTCATTGAAGAATACCAAGAAGAAGAACCAACCATTGGAGATTCATTTATTGCTTTCCTTGTTTCTGACCTCGTCTGCAAGCTGAATCCTCACCGATCAGTACGAAAATGAAGTCATGCAAAACCAGAACCAATATCTTCGCTATATGCATTGTCTTGCTAACATGCGCGCCCTGGATTGTTTACTCGGTGCCGGAGAAGTTCCTTCTGGTGAACATGACCTTCGTTCCAAACGCGAAAGCTCAAGGCGCAGGCAAGACTTCGACAGAAACTACTCAATAGCTTCCGGTTTTTCTTTTTTCATTTCCTTTTCTTTTTCCTGTAACTTTAATCTAATCTCGTAGATCTAGATTTCGTTTTACAAACTTTTGACCGTCTCTCTTACTTTTTCTTCTTCAGTTTGTCTGGACGGAAGTTTGCCTGCATATCATCTTCACAGAGGATTCGGTTCTGGGGCACGTAACTGGCTTTTACAATTCGAGGTAAAAGGGATTACTATTATCGTGAAGGCGCATTTTTCTAAAACAATCGGACAGAAATCAACAGAGGCCCACCTCTGGCGCTGGAACAATAGTTTAGCTGTTTAGGTTTTAAAGGTTCTCTGCATATGTGCAGATGCAGACTGCAGACCTAGATCGGCTCATGGTCAAACGATCTCGATCTCTATCGATTGATGACGATGACCTCATCTCTGATTCGGTCTCAGACTGCAGACCCTGTTTGAATTATTTGGCATGGACTCAAAATGGCTGGGACCGGTGGTTGGCTGGCCTAGCTGGTTTCTCTTTACTCTTTATTCTTTACTCGACAATGGCTGGGACCGGTGGTTGGCTGGCCGATCTCGATCTCTATCAGTTGATGACGATGACCCCATCTCTGATTGGGTCTCAGCCTTCTCCAGCAAATACAAAAAAAGAAAAAGAACGCCTGACTGACATTACCCATCCGTTCCATGAAGTCAAGCTTTCTGGACCAGAGATCTGACGCTCAAGATCGAGCGACGAGCTGGTTTAATGCGTTACGTAATCAATCATACGTTAAATTTTCTAATGATGCATGATTAAGCTTGCTTCGTGAATACAGGGTGGCGGGTGGTGTAATGATGTAGAATCATGCTTAGAGCGAGCCAGAAGTCGACGAGGATCTACCAAGTACATGAATAGGTGGGCAGTCTTCTCCGGTATCCTGAGCAACAACGCGTCCTTAAATCCGGGTACTGATCTTTTTTTCCTACCTGATCTCATATAAATCAAAGCCGTTCATTTGCTGACTCCGGAACTACTAGAAACAATGTGTAACACAGACTTGGTTAAAAATCAACACGTCAGCGCTTTGAACTATTGTCAGATAGCAACTGGCGTCTTTATTTTTTGATCGGGTGTGTTACAACTTACAAACGTTTGTTATCACGTTTATTGCATATTCCGCTCGATGTGGATCGATGGAAGCGGGTTGCTTATGAGTTCACATCTTCTGTTCCCTTGGTACAGAAAAATTACTGTACCAGACAATAATAATGTGCCACATGGTAAAATCATTTTAGTTTTGAAATGGGGAAAACAGGAATTGGGATTTTCTGCCAACAAAACAAGTTCAAGTGTTCAACCTATCACTATGCGTAGGGGGTTGCAATGTATTTTATTGGCAGGTGATTTAGACTTGAAAAATAGGCTGATGCAGTGATGCAGCAAATTTCTATTGATCCAGTACAGAAAATTTTCCACACCAAAGGGACAGACAATGTGAATTAGACAATTAGGGCTCTGGTGGTCCCCAGCTCCACAGCTCCACTCCACTTAATTTGTTTATTCTATTCTTTTTCCGGTTCTGGTGGTCCCCGGTGTTGATCATGTGGCGTATCATGATCAAACATCGGACATTAATCAAATTCACTCTTTGCACATGTAAGATTTGAAAAAGGAGATGAAGTTCAACGAGATGGACACTTTGGGTATGTTATAGATAGAGAAATTGTAGTGAGGGGTAAAACTGAAGGTTATGTTTTTTAATTTAAAAAGTCTGACAGCAGGTGAATTGTGTAGAGATCCTAGTGCTCATTTCATTTGTTTATTGTATTTAAAGACACATAGCTGCAGCGTAGAATATAAAAGATGAAAACACACCTAAAGCAAGAAACATAAAAATGTCGGCTTCATAGAAAGTAACGTAAGGGCAATACAACTAATTTTAGCTTTGGACCAAATAAGAAATTGCTCAAAATGACTACATGACATTGGCATGACATTTTTTAAATGAAAATAAAAAACATCCACACCACCAAACATCTATTAACACAAAATGCAGTCTTTTTTTTTACTTTGCGATATTTGCCTCAAGTGTTAGTGGAGGAAAAATTCCAAAGCATTCATTTGAGATTCTATGAATTGACAACCACAAATGCTAAAATGATGAAAATAATCATACGAAAGCACAAAGTTGTTCTCAAGTTCTTGATGAATTTGATCATGATGTGAGAAACATGTCAATGTTAGTGCAAATAGTCGCTTAAAATAACACAAGGCTAGTTTTGGATTTTGGAAATGTTTGAAAAGAAATGTTCTATGAAGGTAATTGGCTGAATGCTAGCAGCAAAGGCAAAGTGCCGGAAGTTTAGGGTATTTTGTCACATAACAAAGTAGGGAAGCTAAGTTTTGCTATCCCTTGATTATAGGATGGCTATCTGTAATTTACCCTTATTTGGGTAAAATAAAGATTATATTAACTATAAAAACCAATATTGAAGGAGGATTATATAGATAAAAAGTGTGGGGTGCGGGTAGGGGAAGGGTGATCATTTTCAGGATGGCCAAGAAATTCTAAGCTTGGACATAGGTTTTGTATTTAGGCCTTGAACCAGCTCAGAGTTCTCATAATTCAATTATTAGAAATTTAGGGGGCACTTTAAGGTAATTTCTAAACAGTAGGGGTAGAGTAAGTTAATTTCCTAAAACTTAAGGGTGCTTAAGAAATTTACCTATATTTCAATCTTTAGACCTAATCATTGAGTTTTTTCTTAGGTAACCCAATCATTGGGTTGAAACATGTAAAGAAATACTGAAAAAAAGAAAACAAAGTCTCATCTTTTTACCATTTTATCTTTCCCAAATCCTTAACTCTAACCTAAATTGAAGTTTAAATGGATTCGCATTTGTCATTCTTGACCTTAACATGGCCTTCAACCCACCAACCCCATTGAATTGTGAAATCATTTCATATTTGGAGCAAAAGTTTTTTCTTGGTTTAGGTTGGAATTTGGGGGGTGTTCTTTTCTGAGATTTTGAGAGGGGGGAAAGTTGGTCAATGGGATTTTTGTTTCTATTGACCAAGAACCCCTTGTTCTTTTTCCATATTTATGTGGGGACCACGAAAAGTTTATTTTCCTAGGTATCACTTACCCCCATCTCCTAGGTAGGTTATAACTTTTCCACCTAGGGGAAAGTTCCCAGCACTTTAATGGGACAAAAATGCCCCTTTTAATAATGGACTTTTATGGATAAAATGGTCATTGCCTTTATTACCTGAGAAATAAAAGAACATGTAAATGCACTTACCCGGATAAGTGTTTCCTAGGAAAAACTTACCTAGATAATTGCATTTGCATGGGTAAATAACTTACCGAAAAGCCAATGTGGCCTTGAATTGCCTAAATTCCACCAATTAATAACCCAAAATTCCATACTTTATTAAATGGGAAAAAAATCCACTAAGGTAAAAATACTATAGATGCAAGATATAGGATAGGAGTTTGGAATTTTAATCTATTAGTTGTTAACGAACCTACCTCATTGTCGGTTTCATCTAATCTAATATTTTTAAGAAGTATAAATTTTCTAACAAGGTATTGACCTTATTGATGTATTCCTGTTTTTTAATAAGAATTATAGTCTACCCCACTTCATATATATTTTTTATTTTATTTTGCAAAACCCCCCATTTATCACCCACATACCCCCTTAAATTGTGTTAGATTCCTCCACCTGTCAATGTTACAAAAAATGATAAATTTGGGAAGTGGGGAATCGATAATTTGTTTTTTTTTTTATTTGTAATTGTATTTAATTGATTAACATTAACTTTTAGATCTAGAAAGAATATAAAAATAAATAAAAGTCCACTACACTTCAAATGGAGAATAATGAATGTTTAAACCCATCTTTCTAACAAGTTCCATTATTTCACCATAAGCCATAGCCACAAGACCATCATCCCTGCTATTGTTAGAGCCCTCATATTACACCAATACCATTGCCACCTCTAATGGCAATGAGATTTCATGCAAGCAAAACGCACACACTCTTAAATCATGGGAATCCAGTTGCATTTTGGGAACATTTCCTATAAATTTAATGTACATGTATAAGAGATGTTCTTAATGTGCAGCTTTATGCTATTTATTTGCTTAGAGTTTTTAATTGCAGGAGATCCAAGCTCCCTCTAAGGTAGTGTTTGGTATTAGAGTTATTCTCCCAAGTATAATGTTATTTTGAGATTTCTTGCAATGAAAATAATATTTTTGATCTTTTTGCCTATATTCTCAATACATGGTGGATAGGACTGTAAGGTCGGAGTGAGATGCGCTATGTAAGCAGCAAATTCCGATTTAATGAGCCATAATTGACATCAAATTCCGAAACTATTTTCATAAACTTCAAGGTATGATTGAAAAAAAACGGAAATGATACCAACGACCTTTGATTGGACGGAGCTCCGGTCTCCATTGATTAGACGGCAGCGAGATCTGAATCAGAGAACGGCAATTTTTGGTGACCGGATTTCCAGAAAGCAAAAATAATGGATATCCCGAGAGAATATGGGGCTTGATGCTGTGTTTCAGGGTATTCATACAGCTTTTGCTTTAGGAGATCCCGACTCAAATTTTTAGCCTAAATGCCGCTTGTCTAGTCCTTGAAGGTATAAAAAGACTTGTGATTGTGATTCACCCGACGTCTGTTCTGCTATTAAAATACGTTTTAACCCTCTGACACCGCACATCTCACCGTGAGATTAAGATCGATCATAGAAGTGGACCCCGCCCTATATGAGATAATGTTGGTAGGGGGTGGAACGTATTTGTTGGCAGGTGATTCGGAATCTGATGCTTAGCTATTCGTCCATATATGTGGCATTGCCTACACTATAAATGTATTATGTGTAATCTGATTAGTAACGAAATGATGATTATGTCACCATTTGGAGCAGATTTCTACAATTGGAATCGCGTAAAGATTCGTTACTGCGACGGGGCCTCGTTTGCTGGGGACTCCAAGTTCGACAACGGGGTGAGTAACAGTCTAACAGACTAACAGCTAGTAAATAGTTAAATACTACTTTTTATATTTACCGAAACACCCCTGCAAATCCTTTTCTATTACCGTACCGGTTACCCTACTGCTAACTATTTTAGTACTTGTCTTTTTTTTGTTTTTGTAAGTATTTTAATACTTGTCTTTTCTTCCGATCTAATCCCACTTTTTTTTAGTGAAGAACATCTGCTCCCTTGGATCATCGTGAATCTGACACCACAGAAAAAGACAGGGGTAACCGGGTCAACAAAGTCTGACCAGGTCCCACTAATTTCAACGGTGTGAGATTCACTAACATTGTTTAATAAAAGGTCATCACATCAGTTCTGCTTTCTGACTAGTGTCATTTTTTTTTCTTTTTGATATAGAATAGTGTCGGGTAACCACCAACATGCACCAAATCCATATAAAAGGCACCACCAGTAATCTCATCGTTTAGGTTTAGCCCAGGCTAAAGACTAACCCGTAAGGCACCGCATCACCGTCGATGAAGAACATCTTTGAAGCTCCACTATGATTGGCGATGCCATTTCCGCCCCCCTCCCTCTCCTCAACTCTGCCCTGTCCAAGGTTTTGCACGTATATTATTTTGTATATATTTATACTATATATTTGTATTTGCATTTTTTTCAAGACATTGAAAGAAATATAAATACAAATATATATATACACAAGTTTTGCACTCTATATATTTATATTTGTATTCCTTCCTAACTAACCCTTATAAAGACTGCAACTAAATAGTACAAAAGCACACTTACAAAATGCAACTTAGTCCCATTCCTTTTTTACTTGTGTGGGTAACTACATTTATTTTTCAGACAAACTTATCCTGTCCTGGTAAATAAGTTTTTAAAATTTATAAGGTCCGTATTTGTATTTTTAAAATCTATACATTGTATTTATACTGAAAATATTTATATTTGCATTCTTCCCAAACTTAATCTAAAACGTCATTTGGAAGGAGTACAAATACAGGGCAAAACCTTGTATTTTGTATTATTTAATATATATTTGTATTTGTATTTCTTCCAAACTGAGCCTAAACAAATTTTTAACATAAATAGGTAACGTCACCATAATTATCATCATCATTATACAAAGCACCATATTATTCCTAATTTTACTAAACAGAACAATTAGACTCCAAGAATTCAACAACCTCGGTAGCTACTAGCTGAATGTGTTTCTGTTTCTTGTGTGAAACCAACAGACGGTATCACTTTATTTTAGGGGGCAAAGAATCTGGCGTGCCATCATTCTTGATCTTCTCCCTAAAGGGTTGAATCGCGCAGATAAGGTACCACATAACGTATCTCACCTCTTTTAATAGGACATTAGCATGATTCAGCATGTTCCAATGCTAATGTGTTTGTTCTCTAGGCTCTGCTATCTGGTTGCTCAGCTGGGGGTCTAGCAGCCTTCTTACATTGTGACAATTTCACTCAGCTTCTGCCAAGTAACACAAGTGTGAAATGCCTGAGTGATGCTGGATTCTTTCTTGATGCGTAATTGTTTCCCTTTGCCATTTGCCCCCACTCTCTCAGCTTACAAAATGAAAATATTTTGAATTAGACTGCATCTCAATTTCATGCAGAGCTTGTTGTGAACTGTTTCTGAATTGAAGTCATGATTCTTTTATAGGGAAGGCATAAGTTTGAACCGCACTATGAGGTCATTTTTTGATAAGCTTGTTGTTCTACAGGTACGCCTTTAACCCTTGTTCTTGAGCACTTGCACTGTTCCTTGTCATTGTGATCCGAGTAAAATTATGTTCTGTGACCCATTCAGGTGTTTTAAGTTATAAGCTGAAACTGAAAGAAATAGATTTTGCCTACTAACATAGGCCATTTCCGGTTTAAATTTAAGTAACAGATTTTGAATTGGAGTTTCATAATGTGGTTTACTTAATTCTAATACATTTCATAATTCTAATCCATTGCAAACCAAGCATAGCCATGTTGTATTGGATAGGCAGGGGTTTTAGATATTTCATTCCCACCATGTCTGACCTTGGCCAATTTTTCTAGGCAATGGTTGGATGTTTGCTGTGTCCCTCCTCCCAGTTCACTTTCTGTTTGATTTTATTTCCAAGACAGAATAATCTGATTGTATTCTGAGTTTGTAATTTAACTCGTTAAATTGTTTATAAAAAGGAAAGAAGAAAGAAGGATATTAAACAAGTTTAAAATACATCCAGCCATTTTGTAAGATCAATGGAGTATACCACAGAAACAATTGCAAGTCAATACCTTGGATTCTCTCCTACACTAAGATAATAGAGGTTTAGTAGGAGAGTTGAAATAAAAGTTTATTTTACCAATGGTTTTACAGAAATCTGTGCATTGTAGTGGAACTTGTAAGGTGGATTGGCTAACATCAATCCCTTTAGACTAAACCACAAGCTTTTTTTTTCTTCTGTTTTGAAAATCCATTCTCCATCTTCAATGTATTACTGTACTTCCAGCTCATACATAAGAAGTCTATGTTACAGGGAGCGGAACAAAATCTAGATGCAAACTGCACCAGTTCTCATTATTATCCAAATCAAGTACAAATTCTATGAAACTTCTAAAATGATTGAACTATTCAATATATCATTGTTTTGTTTCCCTTGTTCTGAATTGTTTTTTGTCCTTCTGCAGTGTTTCTTTCCTCAATACACATTGGCATACATCAAAACACCATTTTTTATTTTAAATTCAGCATACGATGTGTTTCAAGTAAGAATTATATGCCTGGTTAAATTTTTAACAATAGATATGAGATGTCCATTTTATTTCCTACAGTTTGTAAAGAATGTAAGACATTTTACGCCAACAGTTTCATCATATATTGGTCCCACCTTCTGCTGATTTACGAGGGCATTGGAACCGATGCAAACTGAATCCAGCATCATGTAATCAAAACCAGATTTCCATCTTGCAAGGTCGTTTCTTTTACCCTTTTAAAGAATTCTGGCCTTCATTTGATTAAAGAAGTTGTTAGAGGAGTTTTCATTACAGTTCTTTAACTTTATTTTCATACAGGATTCAGAGGTGAAATGCTTGCAGCTTTGAGATTCTTTCTTAAATACTCGAGAACAGGAGGGACATTTATAAACTCATGTTTCGCTCATTGCCAGAGTGAATCACAAGATACATGGTTTGCTGCTGAATCTCCAAGGATGCACAATAAGGTACTAAGTTCTTTCTGTACCTGTTTACAATGTTCTGATGGTTTATGTTTTGTTTTTGCTTGTGATGTGCCATCCAACTGCTAAATTCCATGAATTAAGAATGTTTTAAGTACTTGTCAAGCTTCAGGCAATTTTTCTTAACATTGTACCTAGAAACTTTTGAAGTTTTTACTGTAATGACTGCTTTACTATATACAGACAATTGCAGAGGCAGTTGGTGACTGGTACTTTGAACGAAAGGTCACCAAGGAGATCGATTGCCCATATCCTTGTGATACTAGTTGCCATAATCTAATACCATAGATTCAGCCTTCAGGCCATTATTGTTTCATTAACAGTGGTCTATTTGTATATCAATCTAATAAATGATTCTGAAATTGTTTACTAGTCTTGTATGTTGTTAGGAACTAGGATTATAATTGATTGACCAAAACAACACCCAGAAGCACATGCCAAAGAGGTTTTGCCATCATAAACATCAAATATTGCAAGTCTCAAAGAAAATTAAGATAGAAAAATCATGCAGTTCTTGAAGCATTGGACTTCATCCTCAAATTTAGTCAAACTATGGGGTCACTTTCCAATTAAAGGGATCCTAAAGCAGTATTTATATGATCAGTGAGAAAGTTTTTAAATATATTTTTGCATACAAATTTCCATTTGATTTTTTTCACTGATAACTTTTGTACTTCGATTTTTCTATTATATAAATTGAACTTGAAGGAACATTTATTTGGCTTGATGTAATTTTAATGGAATGTTAGCACTTGCTTATAATGACAATAATAATTTCAGGGGTTTGCGTGATCAGAAGAGGTTTTCTTTCTTACCGTTACATGTTAATATGTTTTGAGAGTCTGCTTTATGTTTAGAGAGAAAAAGAAAAGAAAGTACGAATCAGATCCTGTTTACAGAATTCTTGGAACACATGGTGGCTGAAGTGGCAGTTCATGATCAATTTTGTCCCTCCAGTTCAATGTGGCAAATTCTAATACAATTTCTTTATGTCCTGGGGATTGGAAATATAATGTAAAGATTACTTTCAAATAGATTATAGGGTAAAAGACTTAAATATACCCTGGTTTTTCATACCCTGAGTTTTTATAACGGATTTAAGCATACCTTGTGATTCTTCTACCCTTCATTTTCTTTCAAATTTTCAAAATGAACCGATGCCTCCACTCTTTATCAATTCCATGGTAACCTTAGGGTAATCTTGCAAAACTTCTTCAAGCTCTTCAAATTTAAATTCCTCCAATATGGTATCTATTCCATATTCTCTTCAACAAACTTCCCCATTTATATTATTTTCTCAATGTTAAACATGCCTGCCCATATTTTAGCCTCAGCTGGGCTGAAAAGTCAAAAAACTTTGTTCTGGTCTCTACTGGATTGCATTCAAGATTCTTTAAAAAGTGATCTGATTATGTACCAGTAATTCCAATTATGATCTTCCGTAGGGTAAATTTTAGTATTAGTCTTTGCTTTAGGTTTTTCTCTTTTTCTTTCTTTTTATCTCGTTAGTTTTCTGTTTCTTCTTTTCTTCCTTCTGTATCTTTGGCTCCTGTTGGTTGAATGATTTTTTTTTGGTGGCTTTCTTCTTGAGGGATCATTCTTTTGTGCAGCACCTCTCATCTTCAGAATTCTCCACATTGCATCTCCTTTCTTTCTGGGTAGGGACAATGGGAGGAGATCTCTCTTCTCTCCATGCTGAGTAGATGATCAAAGCTCTCATCTATTAAAGGGCAAAATAGAATTTAAAACAAATTAAATGAGTTCACATGTGATGGGAGGGTATGTTTAAGTCTAGTGAGTGAGTTCACAAGGTATATTGAAGTCTAATTGAAAAACTCAAGACATGTTTAAGTCTTTTACCCTAGATTATACTGTCCAATAGCCATGTCCCGACTATGTGTGGTCTATGCAAGGTTTTAAAAGACTAAAGGCGTAGTTGAGGCGTAATGGCCCAAACAGGTGAAGTGTAAGCCTTATGGCGTTGCAAGGCATAAGCCTCAACGTTTAAGGAAAAAATTAATTTAAGTTTGTAAATTGATGAAAACAACATATAATATAACAAACTAAAATGATAGAAAGTATGCAAATCCATAAACTAGAAGTTTATAAGCAATAAGTTTTAACATTTAAGCATTAAATAAAATAATAATTAATCAACTAACAATTATAAACATTTTACATTTCATGTAAAAAACAATTTAGAAAAATCCATAAGTACAAGAAATATGAAAAATAACAAACTTGAGGCATTACAATTAGAAAAATAAGAAAAACCTCACTTGATGTACTCAAAAAAAACTAAGAACTTAATTAGTCCTTTTTGCATTGAACTCTCTTAAAACACTAAGAAAAACTAATAGAATTTTATTTGCCTTATTGTTTATTTTTATTTTTTTTTACGTTTTTATTTGGTTTATAATTATTGAAGTCTTTTTTCTATATGTTTTAAATTGTAAATACACACACACACATATATATATATATATATATATATTGCATTAAATCACTATGTAATCATTCATATTTGAGGCTTATGCCTCATTCTGGCAAAAGCCTTGAGACAAAATTGTGCATCTTGCCTCAAGGCTTAAGCCTTTTAAAAGAATGGCTACATGAATCATGCTTTGCCATTCTGTTCTGTTCAATGTAAGTTAAAAAAAATCAAGATCCATAACCATAAGAATTTGGCAAAAATAGTGATAAACGTCAACCCTCCTCCTTTATGTGGGCCTGGAAGTGACAAACCCCATACAGTTAAATTATATATTTTCAATAATAATAATAATAATAATAATTTAAATTATATATTTTCAATAATAATAATAATAATAGGGAAACTACTATATGCCTACTCCAAGCTGGGCAAGCAAGACATTAAGATTGTTGGTACGTAGACACTTAAATATAACTTTAGGTTGTATTTCGTTGGATAAAAGATAGTCCCTATGTTACGAATTCTGATTTTCCATCAGTGTAGGGAAGGTTTAAGTCCCTTATACCATAGACCTCTCTTCATCCCTAGAGGAACTTTTTTTATTCCTTTCCCAAGCTATACCGAAGCTTATAAGGTACCAACAAAGACCTTATTTTCTTTTTGGTTGGTTCATAACTTCACACAAGAGATGTTTATATTAGTACAAGTTGCACCACGAACATAGGGACAGCTATATATGCTTTTAATGCTTCAAATTCCAAGTAAATCAAAACTGTTTCTAGAAAAGGTGGGGAGTAATGCTCTTTTTCTGTACTTAGTTTACTTTACTGGTAAGTACTTTAGGCTGCATTTTGGCATTTCTTATTTTAAGGATTTGTCTCCTTTCTACACTTAAAATGCCCCTGGTGAGCAGTGAATTTTTAACTGCAAAAAGGAGATAAGTCCTTAAATTATTAAGGAGTGCCAAATGCAGCTTAAGTACCATAAGGCTATTGTGCTATACTATTATCAGATAGTTTTATATTTTGGACATTTCAGGCGTTTGAGGGGTTTCCAACCTTTCCTTTGTTTTTTTTTTCAAAATTTTATGGATTTTCCTTATATCTTAACTATTTTATAAATATTTGCATATTTTGTAGTATAATTATATTATAGCCAAAATGCCAAAATTTTCAACGAAATTCTAAAAAACTCAAACCAATATCTATTTATATATATAAAGCAAGGTTGTCCATGCCACCATGCATCTCCTTACTCCAAACCCCTCTTCCTAATTTTTTTTTCTGAATTATTTATTTTTTTATTTCACATAATTACCCATTAAACCAATAAGGAAACAATATATGCTAAATTATCTCCAACAACCAATAGATAAAGAAAGAGGGATTTGCTTTTCTAATGTCTAGCCATGTGGCACTGTTGTAGCATGAATCTGTTGATCTCCCTGCTAGAGGATAAATCGGACAGATGGGCTGATGTGGTCAATCCACCGAATGACAAGAAAGGAAGAATCAGAGTACTTGGGGTGCTGATCTCAGGTTGGGCACTCTGATGCTTAAGTCGGCAATGAGAATGATGAGAATAAAGAGCTTAAGAGCAGAAAATCAGTAATTTGCATAGATTTCGTGTACCTTTTGGTGGAATAGGGAGGTCCTTTTATAGGCAACAGAGTCCATGTTCTATGTCTGAGATACTAGGGAACGACTGGCCTTATCGGTCTATTATCTTCGAAGTATGTTTCCTCTACGATGGCAATGATCCATATCCAAACTCCATGAGTCGTGCGGGAACTAGAGAATCAGAGATACGTGTACTAGGTAGGCAACATGCCACCACGGGGCTCAAAGATGATAGGTGTGTTGTTCCAAATAAGGGTATTCCACCACGTAGGTTGGTAGGACAGTACCCCGGAAGTCCTACTCACTACTCAAGTCTATATCAGCCAAGATCGGGGAGATAACACTGACCTCCATGGTCCTTGACTTGTCTTCGCGAGGTGGTGTTCGCTACCAAGTCGAGGAGCAACCCGCTAACCTCTCATAGGTCGGGATTCAAACTAAACTTGATCGTTTCATGTCATCTCGATCCTATGTCACATGGTGTTGAGGTGTTGTTAGACATTTCGGGCTCACCACATGTCTCCTTGTGGTTGGTCAGCCAAATTATCCCTCATCAGGCAGCACTATCCCCTAGTTTCTCCTAAGTTATCTCTAATTCTTATTTATCTCCTAAATTATTTCTAATTCCAATTTATCCTCTCCCCCACTTTTTTATCTATATCAATCTAAAGAAAGTTTGAATTAAAAAAAATTAAAAATTATTTAAATATTATAACAAAATAAATTGTAATTTTATGAATTATTCAATTTGAATGCTATTCAAATAATAAAAAGCTAACATTAAAAACAGAATATTATTTAAATATTTCAATAACTAAATATCTTAAATAAAAACATAAAAAATAGGTAAATAATTATATAAAAAAATATTTAATATTACATAATAACTTTTAAATAAATATAATTCAAATAAAGAAAAATTTAAAATAATTTACATATTATTTATATATTTAAATAACTAAATATTTTCAATAATGAAATGTTTGACATAACTAAATTTTAAATAGATAAATTAACAAAATTATGTAATAATACTATAAATTATAATTTTATGGATTATTAAATTCGATAAACAATTAATATTTTAAAAAATTAAATAATGCTATTATTTAAATAACTAAATAATATTGTAAATAACAATTTACATTTATATAAATTAATAATTCTAGAAAAAACTTTCAAAAAAATCTTTATTAATAATAATTTTACAATCTTGATCTATATTAATTATATATTTATATATACTAAAATTAATATTTATTTTATTTCCATTAATTATTTATTGTGTTTTTTTATAAATATATTTTCAATAATTATGTATAAATCTATTTTTGTTTTATTATTTAACAGAAAATTTTAAATAATTATAAAAGATTAAACTACTGTTGTTTAACTTTTTAAATTTAATTTATTGTATTTTTGTTATCAATTTATTTTTAGTACTTATGTCTTTTTTATAATTTGTTGATTAATATTTATTAGAGATTCAACTATTTATTGACTAGTTTAATATATTTTCTGTATTTGTTGTATTTTTATTAGTTATTTATTGTATTTTCATTAGTTATTTATTTTCAATAATTTTGTACTTTTGCTATAAATTTTCAACAATTATTTGGAGATTAAACTATTGTTATTTTTTAGAAATTAGACTATTAACTAATCTGAAGGAGTGTCCACAGGTCAGTTCAATTTGGTTGGAGGTTGTTTTGCCAATCAAATCGACCTAGTTAGTTGGGGAGTGGGCCAACCGAAACTAATGATAATTAGTGAAAATCGAGTAACTTGTGTTGTATCAGTTTGGGTCGATCTTCGGTTTAATCGGTTGGTTCAAAAGATTTAAACTTAAAAAACTAAAATTAAATTAAAATTTAAACTTAAACATTACAATTGTATTATTAAAAAATAAATTTATGATATAAAGTATTTTTTACTAAGAAATATGAGAATTTTCCCACTTCCCATATTAAAAAAAATATATATATATTTAAAATATAAAATATTAATATATATCTATGGTCGGGTTGGTTTGCTTTTGGTCAGTTTACAAATGGCCAAACCAAAATTAACCCAACTTGATTAAGTTGGAAAATTGTTGAACCAAAGCCGATTGGAAATACTAGAAAACCAACCAACTTGGGTCAAGTTGGGTCAGGTTGGTCGGTTTCATCAATTTGATGAACATTCCTAGATGAAATTAATTATTGTTATTTTTGTATTGTAAATAATTATTAAAAGTAGTATAAAATATAAATAATTATTAATTATTTAAAAAATTAAAATATAAAACAATTGTATATTGTTATGTATTTCTGTTGTTTAAATTTCGCTTAACAAAGCCCACCATCAAATGGGTCCTTGTTAGTTTTTTATATATTGTGTCAGTCGCCCTGATTTAAAGTTTGAAACCAAAATTTTGCAAATTACCAACCTAGTTTTTTATTTGTTGGGGTGGGTTTTGGGCACGCTCACCCTTATAGATAATATGTTATAATGTTTGTATAACATGTTATTTTATAGGGTAAATTGTTAAAAGCTCCCCCTGAAGTTTTTGACCATTCCTTAAATCTCCCTTGAAGTTTAATAATTGCAATCACCTCCCTTGAACTTTCTGATACAATTGCAAATAAACCTCCTATATTAAAATCCTCTAACAATAGCCATGAAAATGTCCAAAATACCCATAAAGGTTCTATTGAAACTAGTTTCTATGATAAAAACAATACAGACTTTATGAACAAAAAAAAAAAAAAAAGAGTGTTTAACTATGTTTGGTTTAAAGGAAAAGGTAAGGAAAGGAAGGAAAACCTATACAAGATTGTAAAGTTCCTCTCCCTACTTTTTCCTTCAAACCAAACACAACGTTAAAGTTGCAGCTTTACCTTGTGGTTGACATGAAGGGAAAATTTGGAAAATAAATCAATTTCAGAAAAAGAGATTGACAGGATTTGAGATAGTGATTCATATGAAGAGAAAATTTACAAAATAAATATTTTAGCCAAAAGTAACTGCATGGGTATTTTGGACATTTCAATGCCTCTCTTTTTAGAAGATTCTACCAGAATGGGCCTACTTGCAACTATATCAAAAAGTTCAGGGAGATGTTTGCAATTACCAAACTTTAGGGGAGATTTCAACAATTTACCTATTTTATATTGTGTTTTATGTTTATAAACAAATATTATAATTTAACACCTATAATACATATCATATATAACATTTGATATTGTATAATGTACAAACTAAATTTTAAAACATATTATAATATGCAATATAATATATTTTTTTTTCTCAAAAAATAGGTTTTCACGCAGGAATGGCCAGGTGGCGAAGAGGGATCATGAGAGGGTGATCATGGGTGATCTGGGAAATGGTTCCAAACAACCAAAGTAGGGGTAATCATGGGCCAGGCTGGGCTTTCCACCTGTAATAAGTGTCATATAAGGGGTTCAGGCCCAGCCCACCCCAGCCCGAGTTCCAAGCCAGATCGGGCCTGATTCTGGGATTATATAATTTTATATAAAAATACGTTGAATGAATATAATATTTTATTTACATGCATATAATATGTCTACAGAATTTATTTTTTACATTATATAATATTAGTTTAAGGACATATGCCGTAAAGATGTAAATTAGCATTATACAATTAAATTTAATTTTTATGGCTTCCACTAAAACCAAAGCAAGTATCTACTTTATATTATATAAAAATATGTTATATAAAATATAGATTATGCATTACATATCATAATATTAATATATATAACATGTAATATAACATTAAAAAGGCATATTTAAATATTATATATCAATATATGCAGACTGGACTTGAAAACAAAAGGCCCAAGCTTTGAATTTCTGGGCTGGGCTGAAAATGACCAGGCCTAAGCCAAAGTTTTCCTAGTGCACTAGATACCACATAAGACACTAGAAGTGGAAATACCCCTTGAAATAAGGAACATAAAATGACTTGCACATGACATAATGATGCAAACTTTTATACTTTATCTGCCCAATCAAACATAGTTAAGGTTTAGTAAAGCCAAAATGCCTACATGGCAGGGATGCAAACAGATTGAATTGGATTTGATTAGTGGTATACTCGGAACCCAAACTGATAATATAAATCTTGAATCTGATTTGATCCAAAGATCTGATCAATGATGTAGGCGCACATGGCAGGCCCCGGATTGCGCCATGTGGCATTAGCCGGATGGGATCCTGGCTATCCATCTCTAACTTCCTTCAATCACTCTATGGAAAGGTCAACTATAAAAGGGGGTGCCCAGCTCAAGGTAAACCCATCTTGCTTACTCTTGTTCTCTTGCATTCCTACTCTCGATAGACCTTGTCTGAGCTCTTAAAGATTAAGCTCTGAGCCCTCGTCTCAAGCCTAGTCCGATCCCTCTTTAAGCGTCTGACTAACTTGACCGTCGGAGCCTCTGCCCCTGGGATAACACACGGGGCTTTTGACGTGTGCTCTTCTCATGCTCACAGGTTGGATCCATCGGCCTCGGACATCAATGAATTTACTTTGTTGCCCTCGGCCCCATATTTGGCAGCAACAGGATCTCACAAAGGTCGATTTGAATCTGAATTCATTAAGTATGTCATATATCCAAATATGATCTGATCTGTTTAATTTTTGTAAAATTTAACAAATTATTAAAAGGAAAAAAACATAAGTGTTCAAAAAGAAAAACAAAAAAAAACACAAGCATTTTTTTCCAATTATTTCATTATATATATATATATATAAATGTCGTTTTAAAAAATAAATAATATAAAAAAATTCAATAATACAATATAAGCATATTTGTAAATTAGGATGGGATAAGATCATGATCGAGTCAGTTTGCACCCCTACTATGGCATTAGATTCAAAGTACATACATTGCAATTCAACGTACCACTAAAACAAATGCTATCATTTTCGCTACCATAACAAATACTATCATAGGGTGCCAAATCAGATGGTTTTGTCTACAGATTCATGTTACATAACGCCCCTTTAATTCATGTGTTTTGTCTATTTATGTGTCAGCCTGTGCTGTGCAAAGGGCTCTCCTCCTTGTGACATGTTAATTCATGCGAGCTCCTTGCAATAACAAGGATGCTGAATAGAGCTATAATTGGATCGAATTCAGAAAAATCCGAATTCAATATGATTATTGAAAATGTGCATCCGAATTTGATCCAAAATCCAAGCGGATCCTTAAGACGTTGTAGTGGGATTCGAATCCTAATAGACTCGAATTCAGATTTATACTTTATTTTTTTAAATATAAAAAATAATTACTTTTCAAATTTTAACTTTTTTATATAATAAATTAATATAATCATATCATACAATCTAACAATTATTAGTTTTATAATTAATTTTTACTAACGAACTTAAATTCTATTTAAAAATAAAAATTTAATATAATTAATTAAATTTAATAAGGATTAATAAAAAGAAAAATTAATAAAAAAATATTAACCTTAAATATAATTTAATTAATTTAAAATAAACTTAAATTTGATTTAAAAATAGAAAAATTTATAAAAACTCCTTAGGTTTTCTAACAATCCTATGAACCTCCCCTATATATATTTTGACCTTAACAAAAAACACCCATAGTATGTTCAAAAATAGTGTAAATATTTTCTTTCTATTAACATTCGAAATAGAAAATGTTGATTTAATGCATTGATTTTCTTTAAATACCAAATTTATTCATAAATAATTACAAACCATAAAATATTTTGGTAAAAAATATTTTTACCTAAAATAATACAAAAATAATTACAAACCATAAAATTTTAAAAATTAATAAAAACTTTAGCCACTCTTACTAAAAATTAAGATACAAAAAATAATATAAATTTATTTAAAAAATAGGAAATTAGCCACTCTTACTAAAATACAACTTGAATTATAGTTCTAAACATAACAAAAAAAATGCTTGAATTGGACTTAGATGAGGACCATTTAATTGAAAATATCATAAAACTCCTTTCTCGTTTTTTCTTAATAAAATCCATGCATCGCACAGGTGGCGACTAGTATTCATGGGACCTAAAATGAAGTCATTTAGTTGAGAAGCTTGAAGGACAGAGGAGTTCACAAGGCTTGAGGAAGTAGTAAAATTGTAATCACAGTTTGCATCTTTATGAAACAATTTATATGCTTACGCCATACAATGGATACCTTGTAATTATCCATACTAAACCATGACAAAAAAAAGTTGAGAAATAGTTTATTTCGTGGTATAATAACTTTTTTCCCCTTAACCTTTAAATAATATGGACAGAATCACTAGTACAAAGAATTGAATAATACATTCTCAGATGGATTTCAACACCTGCAAGGAGTAATGTTCCAGCACCTATGACAGGAACGGGTAACCCAGAGATCTCTTAACTAGCTCTGGGTTTCTATTACTAAAGTGAGGTCAAGGCATCGAGAATGCTATTTCAAACTATACTCGTGCAATGGGAGAGAAAGGTGGATTCAGGATGAAACATGGTGGGGTTTCCTCCATTCGTTTTGTGGCCTTTCTTTTCTCTTCCCCTGCAACTGCTTCAATCAAGAATCTAACTTCCTCCTCAAGCAGCACTTTAAGCGAATCGTTATGCAACCTCTGCCTGGTCCTCTCTTGTCCAATTACAGTGGAAACTTCTGCACTATGCAAGATAGCAACACAAATTGAGAATGCTTGCAATGAGGACAGTTGGGCATGAAAATCAACTGAATATTGCCCTTCATCAATAGCTGTTATGGTCAAGGCTGGCATCTTCTCTTTCACTCCCTGTAGAGATCAGAAACAAATATCCTTAGACTATAATTAAGGACATAAAACAAAGCAATAAAAACAAGGAGTAGTTATCAATCTAATTTTCTAATTTCTTCACCTAGTAAGTTAGGACAGCCCAATTGATAGTTATCAACCCCTGTATGAAGACATGACCCTTTTATGTTCTGTTCATAATAATAATTATTACCTCTAATACTTGGACTATGTATTTGCATGTGTAAGAGGAGAATGGACAGTTGCGAGAGGAAAATAAATGGACTAAAGTTTTCAATGGGTTTCTAGATGGGAGGCCTAGGCAAGTATCAGCATTATAAAGTAAAGATGAAATACTACAATCATGCATATCCCACCTTCTTTATTAGATGAGAAGCATACCTGAACAAAGAGTTCCACCAGTTCTACATTCTCTGTAGAAGGGTTATCTCCAACATTTCCAGTAGTAGGATTGCTAAAAACAAAAAGGGGGCAGGCCATGTCCCAACCACCACAATCACAGTGACCACCAGATCTCCATCGATCCAGTAATGGTGAAGGGCCACAACCATCATCAGTACTTGGCAAACCATGCGTCCCAGTCACTGTTACCACTTTCACATTTGCGGGACTAGTGCTGCTTTGCTTGTCATCATTTCTCTGCTCAACCATGGAAGACTCAAATAAATCTGAATATGCTTTACTGCAAACCTCTTGCTTGTCTTTCAAGCTTTCCCTTTTCTCAAATGGCACTTGAATAACAATAGCTGCAATTTCAAGGTTTGGATGCAAATCTGCAGGTGACCAAGGACAAGATGTTGAAGCATCAGAGACATCACCACCGGAAGCATGTCGTGGTTGAAGCTTGTGATTTTCTAGATCAGATACATCATTTGGATCCATAGATGGCCCCTTGATCAAGGCTTCACCGGAAGTACCATTAATAGGCTTAATGGAGTCTGGAGAACATGGAGAGCTTTGTTCAGCAGCCAAGCTCTTCCTTGCATGACCTATGTCATACAACACAAACTCTGTCACCATAGAGTAATCAAATGCTCCACCACTTCTAATTTCTGAACACAAATAACATGAAACTTGCATCTGGCCAACCACGGAGGCCTCTTTGTGCCTCTCCTTTGTACCCCATCCGCTATTATTGTTCTTCTTTCTACTGTTTGTAGAATGGAAAGTATAAACCCAATTAAAAGCATTATTTGCTTTCCATGTCTTTGCTGTAAGTACATCTTCAAAGTCCCTTACAAAGAACTTAAAGAACGGGGCCCCATGCTTGTATTCTAGCTTGAGAAAGCCATGGAGGTGAGCTGGTGATGTAGAAACAACTGAACTCTGCTGATCTTTATTGCTAAACTGAGCACTAGATTGCTCCTTCACCACGGTGTTTGAGAAGTCCTGCAACAAAGATTTGCAAAGTGTCCTGTTCCTCCTCATGTTCGGCAATGTCATTGTTGTCAAATCACCAAATTCTGCTATTGAAACTGATGGACTTCGCTGAGATTTGGACTTCATGATTGGATCCAACATCCTTCTAATAGGGCTGAACCTTCCCTTTGGGCTGGCTTTAGAGGGATCACTTTCTGATAGGCAAGGTAAATATGGCATCCCCACTTTTTCTGATGAGGACTTGTTCAAAGTGTGGACTGTCTCTCTTTCCAAGAAGTCATTACTATTGTTCAGAGGACCAATAGTCTGATTACATCTAAAACTAACTTCCCCCAACAAGCCCCTTCCAATTGTCTCAGCAGGACATGGTTTTCTGTCCTCTGGATCCAGGCAGATCTCAAAGAAACCATCTGCAGAGACATCTTCATGCGCAATATTACATGTGGAGGAGGGAACACGGAAGGACAAATCAAAGAAATCCTGAGAATCTGGCTCCTTGTAGGTCTTGCTAATAGCTGTCTCCATATCAGTCATTAAAGGCATTAGTGGAGATCTCTTCTGCTGCATAGGTGGGATGTAATCATTTGACTCAGATAAAGTGTCAAATATCCTGAAAGACAGAGATGTGTCACTGCTACGTGACAATTCTATCTTTCTTCTTCCCTCAAGCTCACCCATTTTCTTTATTTTCCTTACTGTCTTTGAGCTTTGATATATAGAACCTCGCTTCATCTCCCCATTACTTCCATATTCAGCTGCTCCAGAAGGCACACTTTTACAGGACAAACTCCTGGAGTTACCAAAGGTAATTTCTGTGGAGTCTTGATCCATCTGCCTTACAAGGTGGCTTCCACTCATAGGTTTTCTTTTTACATCTCTTTTTTCAACTTTTGAACCATGACTATGTGATCGAGGACCAATTTTAGGACTCTGACCTATACTGCAATACTTCTCAAATTCTAATTCTGTGTCTAACCCCATTTACATATACAAACTGCTGCAAGAAATGAAAATAGATAAGTTATGATTCTGAAGAACTACCTGTGGCTAGCTACAAACTACAAAGTACAAAAAAACTTCCTAATTCAATATCATTCATGCGCTTTGAAAAAATGACATAAACTGTTTGATGTGTTTTATTCCTGCAGGATTTGAACAATTAACCATTCTTCAACACGATTTGAAATTTCCTAATTCAATATCATTCATGTACTCAATCTGCTTCTATTAAGAACGAAGCTACTTAACACCGGAAATCAGGATGTCAACCCTAGTCATGGATGAGATTGAGGCCCTAAAAAATAGTCAGGAACCAACAGCTAATGGGTTCCAAAGTTTAGCAGAATGTCAAGTTGGACAGATTCACGATTTGATACGATCTATATAAAAACTATCTGCATATAGTTGTAGTTCCATCTCTTCATAAAGCTGTGTCCTAATTAGAAACCCCAATCCATCTACACAGACAACAGGACGACCAAACAAGACACCGTGACATGCAAGCCCCCGGGGGAGGTGGTCATCGAAGAAATACTGCAAATTATGCTCAGTTGCAAACTAAAAGACGATACTGTAAAAAATCTATAGCCTTATGATTAGAGGAAAAAAAAGAACACAGTCCCAAACAAAAGTAATAAATCCGAAATATCTTTGAAAAACAAGCATACTCTTATATAGCAGTAACCCAGTAACCAAACTCAAATGTGTGAAAACAGAGCAATCTTTATAAAGTGAAAAGATAATAGATCTTGAGCCCGCCAAACTATCATTTCTACTTGGGTTAAAATGAGGAGGGAAAAGAGAAAACACTATCATTTCTACTTGGATTCTAATACAAAGAAGCCTAAATCTTACAAAATGCCCATACCCCACTAGATCTCACAGAAGCGAATTCAAAGCAATATCAAATTAAAAAGAAGGGAAAAACTGTTCTTTAAGAAATCATCTCTTTCGATCTTTCAAAGCTAAACCTCGAATGTTCTGTACAAACCGCAAAATTTCCATTCTAGGGCTAATAAGAGAAAACAAAAACCTAGCTAGGAACCACCCCTCTGCAACTCAAAAGCTTCCATTCACAATTCTTGAAGAATCAAGAAGGTATAACAAAACAAGAACGGCGTAGAAACAAAAGAGAGAATTTAGAGAGACAGAGCATGCCTTGAGTGAGAAGGCGACCGAATGCTGTGGTTTCTTTGTGGTCACACGCACATGAGGAAGAGAAGAGAAGGGAACTAGGGAAGACAGATAGAAGAGAAGGAGAGACAAAGAGCTGCAGATGCTGCTGGTTTAGTCCGCTAGAAAAGCCATTCTAAGTCATGATATTCACTGTGCCGCTCTTTTCTTTCTTTTCTTTATACGTTTTTTCCCTCTTTTTAATGGTTTCGGGAATTTCACTGATCATTTTTTTCTGATTAAATATTATCGACACTTCCGAATTATTAGAATATTAAATTCGACTAACAGTAAATTAAACCTCTATAGATCTTGCAGTAATCGAACAGCAGATCGGCCATTGTATTAATCTTCCCGAAATTACGAAAATCTCCCCAAGCAAGGCTTTCGAGATAGGCGCACCTCCGCTCTGAGTGAGGGTACTGGGTGGGCAGAGGCAGTCAAGTTTATTTCCCCTAATTTTTCCCCTTCAAGCAATTGGTGGAGGCCTGAAGCTGAAGGGACCCACACAAATTTTCCCATAAAAAAACGGGACCCGCAAATGATGGGGGAACTTTTTCTCACGTCAGATTAGAATCCATTTATAATAAAGAGTTAAAGACCCATTCCAACACCCACCTTGAATTGTCCTTTGTCCCTTCCGCGACCAATCCATTGACGAGAGATTCCTGGATTTGTTAAATCGTGACCCCAATCAATGTCTCTTCCAATCTGGACCCTCCATTGGTATGGACCCTTCAATACTATTTGCGCTCTGCTTGATCATCCAAAGAATTCATCGGGTGTACATTAAAAAAAAAAAAAAACCCATATTCAACTGGGGTCTTCTAGATCAATAAGGTAGGGTCTTGTTTCTTGTACATGGTTGAGTCACGCATACACATGTTCATGTACCTTCTTTTCATTTTTTTTAATTTGTTGGGGACTGTTTGGATGTTGACCGCGATATTACCCGTGCGTTTTGCCTGGAGAGGGTAATTTTGGAAGCAGCGACGACGAATTACAATAATGAAGCACCTAGAGCTAGAAGTCATAATTCATTAGAGCACCACTCTCTAGTGTCAAAGAACGGAATAAATACTCTTCCTTCCGAACTCTGCTACTGTGAGCGTCTCTATCAAATGAGAGAGAGAGGAGGGCGCATGCGATGATGGAGGGAGTGAGACTCGGTCGGTCACATCCAATTCACGGAAACAACAGTAAGTGTTGGTGTTGAGACGTGAGTCGTGAGTCGTGAGAGCGAGAGAGTTGGAGGGTTGGAGCGAAGCCAAAGTGAGAGTAAGAGGGAGAGAGGTCGCCATCGGTCCATCACATGGGGCCCGGTCACCTTCTTCGGTCCTTCTCTCGATATATTATTGGATCGAGAGATTCGAGGTCGTTGGGTGAAAAAGAGAACCTTGACGACCCTTTCTTTCCGACACGGAACAGTTTCATTACGCAAACAAACACAGATCTAAGGCAACCCACGAGGCGTCAGACCGCAACCCTAATTTTAATAGGGTCTTTCTTCGCTTAATATAATACTGGTCGTGACTCGTGACTCGTGACTCGAGGGGTATATCTGATCTTTGATCTATGGGCCCATGACTTGCCACCCATTTTGTAGTCAGAGGATCAGGACCCTCCATCAAATGTGCCGGATCTAAACAGATGGAGGGCCTAGACAAAGACTGGGTGTCGTTGATCGTGACGTCATGGCCCATGACCCCGCGTCTGAGATCTCTTTCTCTCCTAGGCTCATTTCAGATATCAAGTGACACTTTCGTGTATCCCATTCGTCATTCAGCGCGGCAAGTAATTAGTGTTATGAAGGATGTCTGGTAAGTATTTCAGTTTGCCAGTTGCTACAATCGGCCAACGGAGTACCCGCCGGTGGCCCCAGAGCTACAAGCCGTTTGGGATTTGGGAAGGCTGTCCGGAAGATTCAGCTGCTTTGAAGTGCTTTCCCAGACAGCCCTTCAAATAAATGACTGACAAATTATTTGGGCTTTTTAGGCCCACCTTGGGAAGCTAGAAGCTACATACATTTCGGCCCTCTATACTCTATAGGGTTAAATTGAAGATTCAGCTAAATTGGTTCAGCACTGTAAATTGCTCTAAATAAGTTATTGAGGATCTCTAGATTTTTTTTCGTAAATTACAAACATCCCCTTGTATTTTAGGGTCAGTGATAAAGATTCTTCTATACTTTAATTTACAACAAAGGCCCCTTTGAACTTTACGTTGCGATAAATACCCTTTGACTGTTAAGTCAGATAATTGATCTTTCTCTATTTTCTTTTTCTTCACATTCTCTCTTAAAACTCAGCTGACCCAAAAACCCGGCAACTCAAATTCTTATCTTCTTCTTAATTAGTGGTTTTCTGAGTAAGAAGTCTTCTTCAATAAAGAGTAGATTGAGATGAAAAAACAAAACAAACAATGTCTTCTTCATTAATAATTTATTATATATTTCTGTTTTTGTTTTCTTTTTGATCCTATGCCTCCCCAAAACAACTCCTATATGTGTTTGAATTTTATTGAGGGTCTCGGATTGTTCTGTAATCATGATTAGCAACAATGCGATCTCCCTTTCATACGAATCCGTGTTCGGATTGCATTAGAAGGTTTGGCTTTATACTAGTCATGAATGGAGGCATCAAACAACTCTCGAGGAGATGAAGTTCGACAGTTCACCCTTCTGGCTTCAAATTCATAGAAATAGATCTCAATAAACCCTTTGATAGTTCTGGACAAATTATGTGCCTGTGTGAATAGAAGTAGATCTCAATAAACTATTACAGACGGGAATTGGTGAATAGACGAGGGATAAAGCCGATATAAGCAGAGTTCATATACTAAGAACTTCCAGTGTTCTGTTACAACTGTGGTATTATAGGGCATGAAGAAAAAAGTTGTACTACAAAGTTAGAGAAGGAACAAGAAAAGGTCAATGGAGCCGGTAGAGGAAGAGACAAGGAGGATAGGATCTATGGCCCATGGTTGCATGCTGATCGCGCACAAGAACTAAAAGGACTGGGCCCTAGTTTTGAAGCAGAAGAGTGTTATGAACAAAATTGTTAGTATCGGTATAAAACACGAGAACAAAAACATGATGGGAACAGGAAGAGGTTTCATCAAGGAAGAGACCATGCATCTGTCTCGCCGCTGGAAAGGGGAGACTTGACGTCACCGGAAGTGAGAGGCTACACGGAAGATACAATGGATGGTTCTCTACAGAGATGAAAATTCCAGAAAACCAAACAAACTGCCTATGACAATGGTATTCTTGGAGTTTCTTTAGCTCGATTTCGGATTGTTTGAAGACTTTCTTGCCTCTGCCAGATTTTCCTCTTCTTTATCAGTTAGTGTCTCAGAAGATCCATAGCGAGAAGATGTCTCTTAATTCTCGTTCACTCTCCAACGAGTCGATTGTGTCACTTGTTCCGAGAAGAGGACAGAAGGTAGGGGTATTTTTAACCTTTGGTGAGTTAATTAAACACCTATTAGGCATGGATCTTGAAAAACTCTAGACATTTCGTGTTATGTTTATCGCGATTTCAATTAACTTCAACGGAGAAGACAATGAACAGTACAAAGTGTAAAAAAAATTATATGATTTCATAAATTAAATAAAGAGTAGTTTGGATATTTAAAAAATTTAAACAAATTAGATGAAAATCTTTTTCAAATTTAACTAACGAAATGCTAACGAAAAGGATCTTTGTCTAATGGCTAAATTTCAAGGTGGTATTTATCGTCAATTAAAGAATAGGGGTCTTTGTCACTTACCCCAGTACAAGGGGTGCCTTTGTAATTTACCCTTTTTTCACCAAAACCCAATTTGGCTGTCTATCAATTATAGGAAAGGCTGTCCAATTTAAACTTTTTAAATAGTTTAAGTGGAACACTTCAAAACAGCTTGCGAGGTGCAGTGATTAAGCCAGGGTAGTGGTTGTGCACTCGTGTTCGGGATAAACCACCTGGAGTAATTTCCTATTTCAGCCGTATTTCTGGCATTCGGACCGGAACATGATGATAGGCTTTTCAGATTTTCACCAAATACACCTTATGGCATTCTTGTGTGGGGCCTTCTATCCATCAGCTGTCTCCACATCCCTACCCATGCCACATGGGACATAACAGCTCCTCATCGAAAATATCTCCCTTTTCATTCGTAGGGAAATACCCATTTACGACGGCAATGGTGTTCGGTGGGAATACATGTCGAAACAATTTGTGGGGAGCAGATCTGACGTGCTTAATTTTCCGCTAAACCCTACAAAACTGTCCCTGAAGTACATCATTCAACAAGTCTACATTTGTCATCAAAAGAGTAATGGCACGGCACTTCTACCAATGTCCCTAAAACAATACTTGTGTATTTTGTCTTGAGTGGCTTAGCATTGGATACAGGCATCATATGTAACGTAGATAGGATTCCGATTTGAGTTCAAATCAGTCCCCATAATGTCTCACAGCACATCCTAGCTGTGTATTGTGAACATCTCTCGATGATGATATCGGGAGATGTTCCTAATACAGAGCAAGGATGTGCTGTGGAATGTTGTGGGGGCAATCTTGTGGCGGCTGATTTGTTCTCTTCCGATTTCCGATTCACTCTTGAGAGTAGGTCGGTCCCATCTAAAGAGTAATAGAGAATCCCAATACTAAAAGATGAGCATGATTGGATGATCGCTACTGTATCTGTATGTTTTGTTTTATTCACTTCAATGTGGTAAAAGCATCTCAAACAGATGCCTAAAGGTTCTCAGATTTCTGTTGAGTTCTGGTGCAGGCTGTCTCTTGGCCAGATTCTGTTGGTGTCGGACTCTGTTGGTGCGGGATGCAAATGCAATATCTTACGCCTCTCGTCTTTGAGGAGAGCAGCTTTATTTCTAAGCTTTCAACCAAGGTTTTTAAAACTAAACCGATCAAGGGTTCAGTTTGTGGGTTGAATGGTCTGATCATTCGAAATGAATGGATAGCCCATTTTCATAAAATAAAAAATAATAAATGATAAAAAAAAAGCTAAAACCATTGGATGATTCAAATGCTTGGGTCAATGGTTTTTGGCGAAATAATGGTTCTGGGGTAAAACGGAACTGGTCACCTGACTGGTTCCCGATTTTTCCGGTCCAACCATCCGGTCCGATCCAGTTTTGAAAACCATACTTTCAACAATGTTC